AATAAACACTAACTGTACAGAAGACGAAAATAATGTCTAATTTGTGGTGGAAAGGATAGAATTAAAATACTGGGCAATAAAAGACTATATTGGGGAAATGAGTGAAATATCTAAAAGTCTTCCAGCAATTCAGGATGAGGGTAATGGTATTGAGTAATTTCCGACTTTGACTTAAAAATGGTGACATACATGCTTATGGTAACCACTGGAAAAAAGCGACATACAGGACAAACTTTCCAAAAAGTCAAGAGGGGGCGAAGAAGGAAGGGGGGAAAATCCTCAATCTGTAAGATGGCAGCCAGCAATCCAAAGACACCAGTCATCACAAATAAAAGCGACAAAACTCTCCAGCCACAAAGACTGCCAGACTACATAAAAAGGCAAAAGTCAGCTCCAGACCCTTATATACCAAGGAAATATTTACCAAAAGAAAGCCAGCGAAACCGCATTAACTTCAGACAAAAGTGTCTTTGAAAAAATTCTCTATAAGGAGGGTCCCTTCATAATGATAAAAAGTTTAAAATTCACCATTTTAACATCTGCATCAAGTAAACAAAAGATCAGTTAGATACACCAGATCAAACAGAGTTATAAGGACACAGATAGGAATAGCATAATTAAGTTCAATGTAATGGACATACACAGAATAAATACACACACACCGATTAGAGAATATATATATTCTTTCCCTGCACAGGTGGGACATTTCTGACTATATGCTAGTACAAAGTTAGCTTCAGCAAATTTTCAGGTATACTGTTAGTATCAATCAGATTCCCTGATCACAATGCAATTAAGCTAGAAATCATTAACAAAAAGATAAATAGGAAAACTCTTACTTTTGGAAATCAAACACATTTCTAACAACTCAAGGATTAAAGGTAATTCCCTTTCAAGTGTCAGAAGTATGAAGTTTGTTTCAATTACCTTAAGACATATGAACCAATTTCTCATAGAATCATTAGTAAAACTGAATTATTTAAAAAACATTCCTAGTATCTAAGCTGTAGATGTGTATTTTCTATTGTGCGCGTATACTTAAAAAAATGTTTACTAAAATGCACAGTTGAAAGAATGAAAGCTTACAGTTGAAGATAAGGAGTTTTAACAGTCACCTATCTCAATGGAATATCTTTTTGCTCTTTCAAACTGGAGAGGGAGGAACTGAGACAAGAAAATTCAACATTCATTAGTGTAATATCACTTTATCAAGAGCCTTGTCTGCGTTGGTCACCGAGGATACAAAGGTGAGCAAACACACAAGCTCCCAGCCTCCTGGGGTGACAACATCCTAAAGGCGACAGAAACAAACGTAAGATGGCAGCTTGGGAGATCAGGAAAGTTCGCCAGAAGAAGTCACGCTCTCGCTGAGACCTAAGGTGTAACACAAGAGAGGCCAGAAAACAACATTCCAGAAAAGAAAGGAACAGCACATGCAAAGTTACAAAGTGTTAGGTGGGCAATCAGAGTAAAACTATAATTTTCTTCTTAGATAGTCAACATGAAAACAAGGCACAATAAAAAACAGCAAAACTTTTATGCTTTCTAATCTATTCCTTCTTTAATTAGAAATTGGTTGACCCCTTCTACTGTCATAGAAGTTTTCTCCGACTATACAAATACTATCCAGATATTCTATTTATTAAGACACTTAAGAAAATATTACTGTTATACAAAATTGAATGGTTAGCATTTTCCATTCTGTCTAAAAAAAAAAAACCTATCAAAACCAACTTTAAGCCTTAAGGCCTTTCAGAAAGATATTTCCATTCCTTCAAATAAAGAGGTTTTTGCTCAGGACAGAATATACAAACTATGCTTTCTAACATGTTCTCACTAATGTATATCATGGAACAGTCCTGGCCAATTCACTCATTTCCTACCAGCATTTTCAATATTCCACACCCACTTAATTCAACCAGACAAGAACAGTAACACAAACGTACAACTTTAGATGTTGGAGCTGGAAAGAAAAATTTTTTAAAAAAAAGCATCAGGGGGGCTGGCCCCGTGGCCGAGTGCGTAAGTTCACGCGCTCAGCTGCAGGCGGCCCAGTGTTTCATTGGTTCGAATCTTGGGCGCGGACATGGCACTGCTCATCAAACCACGCTGAGGCAGCATCCCACATGCCACAACTAGAAGGACCCACAACGAAGAATATACAACTATGTACTGGGGGGCTTTGGGGAGAAAAACGAAAAAAATAAAATCTTTGGAGAGAAAAAAAAAAAAGCATCAGGGACTTCTAGAATCTTGTTATAATGATTACTCCTAAAAGTGACTATGTCAGCACAAAAGGATCCAAATCAGTTACTAAAGGTCAACTCTGACATGGAAATTACAGTTAAATTATACAGCAACAGATTAACTTCCACTAACTATTTACTTCATGTCCCTTTTGATATATATGGGCAAATATGAGAATTTCTTTCCCAAGACTTAGTAAATAAAACTTATTTTACTCCTAAATTCACCATACGACTGTGTTGAAATAACGTCCTGAGGTTTCGAGTAGAAGTCAAGACTTTACACACTCCTATTGGCCTTTTGCTGTATTTGTTAAATAAGACAAGACTGGCCTCAGAGCGACAGACAGACTCACAACTGAATTCAGCATTCTCCGGAGTAACGATTAGAAACAAAGAACAGATAATCCCTTTAAAATCTGCAGTTACTGATTAACTTTCTTTGGCAGTGAAGAATGGCCCAATTCAAGTTTTTCTTATAAAAGATAATTCCATTCTATTGTGAATACACCAATGGAGTTTTTAAGAAAGCATGACAGTTCAAAGATAGCTGCATCTTCAAGAAAATAAGAACAAATACGAAAATTATATCTGAAGAGAACTGAAGCCATTCTCTGGTAAATTCAAAGGGAAACCCAACACTACCTAAAATATCCAGATACTGTTTTTATTTCTGATCACGGTAGCAAGAGCCCAAGTGTCTTATGAGTTTTCAATTTTATAAAAAGTTAGATGTTATTACTTACCAAAGGTACATTCTCCCTACCTACTCAATTAAAGAAAAGAAAGAAAAAAACCCCAAACTACTCAGACGTTCCTAAGGGCAGGGTGCGGGGTGGGGACAACAAGGACAACTTTACTCTCTGGGAACAGTCAAAAGCTGAGATTTTGGTTTGACCACCAGGACTCACCAGGAAGTACGAAAACCAGGAAACTGAGGCAGGGTCCTTTTTACATAAACGCTTCTTTGCTCCCCCTTTTTTTAAAACTGGAAGTGGTTTGTCATAATGTAAACATGGAAATGAGCAACATGTGGAATAGTGATGAGAAAGGTTAAAGAAAGGAAAAGTCAGTATTCCTGGACTTGTCTCGAGAGCAGTGTAGATAACACAGTAGGAAGTGCTGACACAAGCTTTTAAGGCTTGTGTTTAGCAAGGACACGTGCAATTCAAGTTTAGCGCAAGAACCACTATCCTTTTCAATTTTACGGAAAAATTAAGTTCAGGTTTAACAATCAAATAAAATGTGCATTGTGTACACCCTCAGGAGTTGCTAAGCTGGGTCTCACTTAAGGGACAATACGTGTAACATGCATGAGTAGATCAGAGAGCAAAATACCACAACAATGACCACCATGGAACAGATATCTACCACAAACAGCTTTTAAGGTTGCAGAATGAGTGTAAAATAGCACGTGTAATTGGTCATTTCTGGCATCTTTGGCAGCAAACCTCAAATTTCCTTAGAAATCCCTGGCTTGAGTTTTGTTTTTCAAAAGATCAACACAAAATTATATAAGTTAAAACGCCAGCCAATTCTATCACATCTAACAAAACCAAGGAAGAGCATAGCCAACGACATATTAACAAGAAGCTAATTATTTCAGTAACACCAAGCAACAGGTTGTTCCCTGGAGGACAATCTCCATTTTTTCTCAAAACAACACTGCACACCTAGCCAGACCCAGAGTACAAAATTTAACAGACTGAAAGGATATCAGATAATCTAATCTTTCAAAGGGATTTCAACTTTATCACTTCCCTAAGTTATCTACTAAAACCCTAAACCCGACAGCCAAAAAAAGTTACTATTTTCACCAACCCCAAAGAAGCTTAGAGATTTCAAAAATGAACGTGGAAGCAGGCGCTGATGTTTACAGAGGTGACATCACAAAAACTCTTTGCACAAGTCAATCCATTTCCCAAAGCACATCGGCGGCTCCCGGGAGGGTCTCCTATTTCTAATCCTCGCTCGGTGACCCGTGGTTTTCCCAGTGACTGTTTTACATCAAAAACTCAAGAAAACGCCCCAGGAAAGGGCGCGGGGGCGGGCGGCTCCTGCAGACTCAGGTAGTAAAAGGCGACCGCCGATTCCACCGACAATCCCCCGAAATGAGCGAACCCCCCGCTCCTGGCCAATTACAAGCCTCAAAGTTGCTCCACGTAATCCGGGCCTGGGCCTCTTTTTCAGGCAAACGGGTTTATTTCCCTCCCTGGAGTTGATTCATGCTGGAAACACCGTTCAAACCGAAAAGCGAGCAAAACAAAAGGAAAAAAAACTAGAAAAAGGGAGGAAGGGGAAGCGCGGGCCGTTCCACCGGCGGCTTCCCTCCCCGGGGCCCCCGCTCGCCGGCCTGCGGGGAAAACGCCCGGTCCTCGCGGGCGGGGGGCGCGCCCCCCAAACCGGCCCGCGGGGCTGGGGTCCCCTCCTCGGGGGGACGGAGGGACGCTCCCGGCCGCCGAAGCCGGCCGCGCGGGGCGGCGGGGAGGGGACGCCGCTCGGGATGGAGCCGGATGGTCCGGGGGTCGGCGCGGCGCTCCGGGGCCGCAGGCTCGTCCCCTCCGTCCGGGCCGCAGCCCCGCGCTCCGGCGCGAACTTCGCAGACGGCGCCGCGCGTGCGCCCCGACCCGGCCCCGCAACGCCCGCGCCCCGCCGGGGACCTCCGGCCGACCGGGCCCAGCGAGGGCGCGGCCCCTCGGCCTCCCCGCCGCCCGCGCCCGCCGCCCGGCCGGGCCTGCGCCGCGCGCCCCTCACCTTGGTGGCCATGGCGGGCGGCTCGTCTCCCGCGGCGGCGGCGGCTACGGCTGGGCCCCGGCGCGGCGGCGGCGGCGGCGGCGGCGCTCGGCGACTCGAGGCGCCGGCCGCTGCTCCAGTTCCTGCAGCTCCCCGGCTGCGCGGCCCCCGCCCCTGCCGGCCGAGCCGCCCATGGACCGCGGCGTGCGCGGCGCGACCGGCGGAAGCGCGCCCGGTGCCCTCGGCCGGCCCGGCCTCCTCGCCCACTTTCCGCCCCCGCCCCGAGCCTCCGCCCCGGGCCCCGCCGCCGCCGCCGCCGCCGCCGGGCGCCCTTTGTCCCCGCGCCTCCCCGAGCGGCGGCCCGGGTCACGATCCGCGGCCGCGCCCCGCATGGCTGCCCGTTCCGGGGCAGGGGGGACACGCTTTGCGGGAGCGCCCTGCCGGGGGGCCGCGTCCCCCGGGCCCCCAGGCCGCGCACGGCGGGCGTTCTGCGTGCGCGGTGCACGAGGTGCGAGCCTAACCCGGGCCCGTCCGCGGGCCGGGCATCTCTGTCCCGGCTCGGGATGGCTGCTGGGCCGAGTCAAATGAGTGCTCAATAAACAGCCGCGACGGAGTGGAGCCATGGCTGCCTGGCCCGACCGGCCCTTCCAGGAGGTCCTGCCTCCGGCCTGGAGTGGCCGCAGGCTGGGATCCCGGCTGGAGCGCCTGGGCCCCGGCGCCCGGGGATTTCATTCTGAGATGTCCCATTAAGCTGCTTCTGGACGCCTGATGGATTTCAGAATGCCTCAGGGCCCCAGAGTTTTGGGGGAGACAAAACAGGCTTCCACAGTGGAAATGAGAGATCTCAAATTTGCCCTTTTTTTCGTCAAATGCTTGTCTTCAGAGTTGGATATATGGGTTTTATTGGTAACTGACTTCAACTGAGCAGCAAGATTTTCTCTCACCTACCAAAAACACCACTGGAAAATATATTTTAGTGTATGTGCTGCGGAAGGGAGCACAGAGATCTATCCTAATTATTAACCTAGCGCATTTTGTTTTTATCATCAGGGATATATATATCTATATATATCGGGGGCAACTAGCAAATCAAATCAGCTTTATTAGTCTAGGAAAGCAGTAACTTTATTTAGAGTTAATGTCAAATTTGTGTCCTCTCGAAAATATTCTATTTCACCTCCAGAGAGTTCACTAGTTACCTTTAACAATGAGGTTTAAAATGGATATGGTGTTATAGAATTTTCTGTGGATTTCTGTGTTTGCTGAGCTCATGGCTAAGGCTGTAGTCATAACATTTATAAATAGCTGCCTTGCTAAGTAAAAGGAGAGTTGGAGACTGACATTCGATGACAGCCCACTTGCTGTATATTAGGCTTTTCCATGCCTTAATCTCATTTTATCCTGTTAAGAAACCCTTGAGAAAGTCCTTGTTGTCCACTATTTACAGGCATGAAGAAATCAAGGCTCACTTAAATAACTTGGCTGATGCAATAATAGTCACCAAGACTGAAAATGACCATAACCTTAGACCTAGCAGCTCTTCTAGGAATTTATCTTGCTGTCAGACTTGCACAAAAGAGCAAAGATGTTCAATAAAGTGTTGTTCTGTGATACCCCAAACAGAAAGCAACCTATATGTTTGTTAATAGGACTGTTTCAATAAAAATGGTACATCCATACAAATGAAATACTAGGAAGCCCATTAAAAAAAGGTGATATTTTAAGAAGTATTAACAAAGGTAAAAAGAACATTATGTATAGTACAATCTATTTGTGTAAAAAATATGAAAATATATTGTATATACCTAAAAGATTCCTGAAAAGATTCTCCAAATGCTACTGTCAGGATTTTTGAGTATGTATATGTATTACTTTATTTTAAAAATGAGTCTACACTTTAACAATTAATTATCTTGACTAAGAGCACACAATAATATGTGGAAAAGCCAGGATATGAACCTGGGTAATATAACCATGGGCCCTCCAGGACCAGTTCAACTAACCCCATCTTATCAACAGGGTAATTAAGAGTTGTCTTTCAGGAGCTGAGCCCTCCCTTGTCCAGTTCAGGCTGGTTGAGACCTCTAACCCATCAACTGAGCCTGTGCAAATGCTCCATAAGTGACCGTTTTGCCGTCAAGGAGCTAAGCTCATGACCTCAGATCATGGTGAGGCGCCATTTTGTGAACACCCGTCCTATGAAGAGCCATGAAGCTTGACGACGCTTGCACAGATCAGTTACCTCACTTCTCCTCACCTCCAATCATCTATCTCCACACTTCAGACCACCCTGCCCTTCATCCCATAAATTTTACCCAGATCTGAGGGCACATGCTGCCTGTCTCCTTGCAGATTAATCTCGCGAAATAAAGCTACATTTCTTTCCCCAAAAGCTGATGCCATAATCATTGGCTTTTTTAATGCTCACCAGGCAAAAGAACCCTAATTTTGTGTGGCAACAGTAGTACTATAAATAATGAGTTTTCCGTATTCTTTTACATTTGAAAGCTGGGTACAGCTCCCTGAAGCAGTTCAACAATTCGTGTTTGACAGGAAGGTACACAGTTGGAGTTCCTCCTTTGACCTGTGCCTTTCTGCATGCTCAGTTGACAAGTTCTGGGTAACCAATAAGCCTGTGCCCCTGGCACCAAGACAGACAGAAGACCAGAGTCCAAGCTTTTCCTTCTAGAACAATTTATGTAGCTCTGGCTCCATTTTTCAGAAGTAACTGTGGAGACAACGAACTCAGAATGACTAATGCAAATCTATATAAATAGTTAAGTAAACGTCACTACATATATAAATAAAAGTCACTACCTATATTTTTGAGGTGGTAAAAATATCACAGCATTGTTTTATAGAGCCCAGGAGAGCAGTCACTGACACACACCTCAGGTGAGCCCGATCCCCAACTCCCTCTCAGAGCTCTGCTTCCACTGGCCTCTCACTTCCTCCTGCCTCCTGAGCATCACACTCCCTTCCTTGCAGAGGGCCAGGACTGGCTTCTTGGGTCCGTGACGTGTGCAGTCGTGCAGGGCCTCGTGCTTAGCGGCACCCTGCTCTTGCTTTAATGCTCTGCTCTCACCATCAGTAAATTCTTAATGGTTTTGAACAAGGGGCCTCCCATTTTCCTTTTGCATGGGGACTTGCAAATTACATTGCTTAAGTTGTTTCTTGGTCTGAAATACCCAATACGCAGGAGCCCATGCACTCCCCCCCCCACCACACTCACACACCAGCTAACCTCCCACACGTCCTTCAGAGCTTCCCGGCACTGTCCAGTTCCTGCCCCAGTCTAAGTCAAGGTTATTGATAGAAGGTCTCCGAGTACTGGTTTCCTTGACCTTGGAAACTTAGCTCAGTTTCTTATTCACTGGAGAGACCATTTGCCTGCCTCCCCCATCAGACTGTAGGTAAGTTAAGGGGAGGAGGCTCTGGGCCCCTCTCGCACCTGCTCCTAGCGCCACACTTAGCTCCGAGTAAGCCACCACTAATTCTTTGTGAAATGAATGAGGAAATGAATGAACAAGAGGCGTTGCAAATCACGAATTAAGCAATAGGGCATTTGCCGAGTCTGCTTTCAAGCAACTCGCAGGATTCTGAGGAACACATTTGAAAACCACTGTCTGTCATTATCTAAGGTAATGTGAAATGTTGCATGTTTACTCAACAATATGCTGTTTTTTATTTTTATTTTTTTGGTTTCTGTTTTCTTGTCTTTTGGTAAGGAAGATTGGCCCTGAGCTAACATCTGTCCCAATCTTCCTCTATTTTATGTGGGATGCCACCACAGCATGGCTTGAGGAGCCATGCTAAGTCGGTGCCCAGGCTTTGAACTTGCAAACCCCTGGCCCAAAGTGGAGCGTGCTAACTTAACCGCTATGCCACCGAGCAGCCCTAATATCCCGTTTTTTAAAAGTATTCTTCAGAAGTGTCATTCCCTTATGATAACATTTTATAAAATAATGTTGATTTAGACTGGAAAATCGAAAATAAAACTCCTAAATGTAGCAGTGTTTACTGGAAATGTAGTGCCCAATTCATTATTTAAAAATGCAGTAAATGAAGATTTTCATTGTGTTCAAGATCTCTTTAGTGTGACTTATTGACGTGCACATCTCATGTACTTTATAGTTATTGGTTGGCATTTGTTTGTCTTGCATGTAATTACCAAGTACGTGGGATTATAAAATGCCAGTCCCCTCGTTTATAGGGGCAGAAATGAGACCGAGGGAGTTAAATGACTTACCCATGGCCACGAATTAAGGCAGAGCAGGGACAAGAGCCCACTTCTCTTATCACAGTTCTCCAAAACATTTCATTTTCAAACTAAAAATATGTTAGGTGAGAAGTTGGAGAGGAGTTTTGTGACAGTCAAGACAGTCATTGCTAAAACAGGACAAGGATTCTTGTCCTGAACTGCGCTAGGAGCCACCCACCCACACTAGAAGAACAGAAGGAGCATGACATGCTTTTGTGTCGTCTCACGGAGTCCACCTGCCCAGTGGAACAGTGGCTTCTCCCAAACGAGAAAGTTGACTTCGCTCAGATAATCATGAAGAGCCCTGGGCAAAGCTGGGGAGTCGGTGCTTCCATTTGATCACCCGTTCACACCTCCTTCTCCCCTCCCAACCATCTCCTTCCTTTGACAGGCATCCTCAGGGGTGGTGCCCTACGTGGGCTGCCCTCAGAACCCAGAACCCAGGCACGGAGCCAAGCACACGCCCAGTTCAGTTACTTCCTCTACAGCCTGAGTTTCCATTACTCCCGTTGGCGAGAACACAACTGATTGGCTGAGAAATTTGATCTGCATTGACAGACTGCTTTTGGTTATACCTAGATTGCACTTTCAAAAGAAAAAAGAGCTGCAGCCAGGGCAACAGAGCTGCTCTGTTTAGGCTTTGCCCTCTTTTTATCAAGCGGAGGCAGATGGAGTGATAAAGATTCCCAGGAAGCCTGGACTAGTGACAGCTGGTGGCGCTAGGAGAAGAATGGCCCTTAACTCTTGCCCTTGGTTCGGTTAGTGACGGTTAGGTGTTATGACTATACACTTACAAAGTTAAAGCACTTTGTTTTAACTGCAGAAATTAATAACTTCATCGTCATGACTCAGAAACTCTCTAGCCCCAACTCATTTTTTCACATTGAAATGATAGTTTTTAAAATTCGTCTTTTAAAAACTTGAAGTTTCTTAGATATGGC